TTAATCCAAGTCCAAAGCTTTGGATAACTCTTCCCAAAATGTTTCCATATTTTCTTCCGTCTCTGGCCAGGTAATTCTTATAACAGACCACCAAATATATTTAAGATCCTTGGGTAATTTTTCTATGGAAATGCCGTCTTTAATTATCACAACTATGGATTTTTCTCTGTGATTGTGAAAGGCATGAGTAACCACCATCTGAACGGCATATGAGTTCCATCCACTAGCAAGGAAGTTTTCAGTGATGACGATAATAACTTTACGGCTTTCGTCAATGCACTGTAGGAGTTGCTTAGCTTTTGATCTACCCGGTATAAAGTCTTCGTCCGGTAAGCTAATCTCAAAGCCTAAACGTTTCAATTCCTTGTATAGAGTTGTAGATACGAGCTCAAAGTCCTCTAGATCTTCTGCGTATGAAACAAACCCATCAAACCGGAATTGTTTGGTATTAACCACTGGTATGATGCCATTCCATCTACTACGCAGGCGCAGAATGACATAATCAATATGAACACGATATTTTTTCATAAATGCTGTAAGCAATATCGTGGTGAGAATAAGGACCAACACAACAGAAGACCATGTCAGCCATGTGGTTGCATGACATTCCTTTTCAAATTTTTTAAATGATTTTTCCTGAAAGAAATCTTTCATTGACACTTGTTCGCCATTGCAGTGGGTAGAGCTAAGATCTCCAAATATGAAACGATTTTCTCTCATGCGTTTGAGAGAGGAAAGATGCTCACATTCACAGTTAATTGGGTTTCCTTCGATAAGTAATTGTAAATCTTTATTCAATGTTAATAAATTTTCTATGTCAGATTGAGCAAAGAATGATATTTTATTGTGACGCAAGTTTAATTGTTCAAGCCTTTGTAAATGAGAGAAGGGAATTTTTGAAAGTTCGTTGTGCTCAAGATTTAAACTCGAAAGAGAACGTTTTTGGTCTTCAAAAATGGTAAGTGGCAAATTATGTATAGAATTATTACTGAAATCGACAATTTTTAGCCTTTTTAGCCCCATAAAAAGTTGTCCCATTCTTGAATCATCGAAGCCAAGTCTTGCATTTTTTGCAAAAAAAAAATTCCAGTTTTTTGGCAAAATGTAATATTCGAAAGTTCATTTCACTACAGTTGTTATCAGATATGTCAAGAATTTCTAACGAGGATGTCTGTAAAGAAGTTATACTTTTGAAAGGCATACATGTGTGTGTTAGGTATACTTCTTTAAAATTGTTACCACGTACTGTTAAATTTATGTTATCCCAAAAATCAGGAGACTCACGTTGAAAATTATTAACATCTCTTATAACTTTCAAATGTTTTGACAGATTTAAGGTAACATTAATTCTCTTCTTGAAATTTATTCGATAGAATTCACTTACATGTAAGTTAAATATTTTATCATCATCACAATGTTTATTATTATTATTGCTGATATTTAGAGAATGTAATTTTGGATATCGTGTGAGAAGATCAATTCCAATTTCGAGTTTAAAGACATGAATTCTATTTTTAGATATGTCAAAGTACTCCGCGCATTGACCCATTCGTGTATTTAAGGGGCTGTATGTTATTCCATCTATCCCGTTTGAACTAAGGTCGACCTTTTTTGCACATATATTAAACAAATATTTACAATTTTTTTTCATTTAGAACTACTGCCTTTTCTTTTATAACAATTGTATTCCTGTTAAAAATAATATATTCCCTTGTTCTATTCTGAAGGCATTTTAAGGAAAGTAAGGCAGCGGTCATATCACACAATCCACCAAACTCAATTAGGACACCTTTCAGATATGGAAATGAGCAAAATATTTCTTTGCTTACATCACAAAAGACCTTGTGCCGGAAAAACAATTCCAAGTAATATATAGGAGAGCTGGACAAACCGACAAAAGTGGTGTTAGTTAGATGGAATTTGGAATTTTCTGCACGCAAGTCTACACTTTTCAATTGTGTTAACCTTTTAAATGGCTCTTTAAACTGAACCCCATTGAACACCCCTATTGTTCTTCCAAAGTCTGTATTCTGGAGATTTCAATATCTGGATATCCCCCATCTTCAAATCCATTGTTATGTATACGTAAAACTTTAAGCTTTGTTAAATCCGCAAATGATTGATTTGCAAAAGACAATTTTCTTAAATTGCAATCAGAAAGGTCAAGAACACACAAATTTCTCATTGATCCAAAAGCGGATTTTGTGATGACTTAAAGTTGATTGTCCTGTAGATAGAGAGCTGTAACAGGTTGCAACAATTTTATACCGATGTTAGCAAATGTTTCAGTGGATATCATGGTAAAATCGTTTTTGGAGAGGTCTAAAGCCAAGCTGTTATATTTAGATTCATTTGGAATACCCTTCGGTATTGTTTGAATGTTCAGTTGACTGCAATTCCATAACCATCCTTGATTCTCACATTCATCTTTGTAAGGCGTTAAGGTACACAAATTAGAATTGGTTTGTTCGGCAATCTCTAAATCGAGAAGAAAAATCTACATTTTGAATATTAACAAACATATAAGGTATAGAACACGTTAATGAAACGAGATATTATTTTAAAAAGACCTTCTGAATAGTATGCCTAATAAGCACGTAGTATAAATCGAGAATGTGGATAATTTATATAAACAACACGAACGATGAATACGACTTACTGAAGACTTGATAAATCACAAGAAGACTTTTGACAAATGTAAGATAAAACATCATGGCAATCGACGTGTCAAGAGCTCCTTCTTCTCGTGAAAATGTCTGGTCTTGTGTCGAACTCTATTGGCAAAGCTAGACAAACAAGTATATATGAATTACTTAGTATAAAAGGTTGTATTATATACATTTATTGCATGATAGTGAGGGAAATATGAAGACATTCAGCCAAGAAAAATCATATTCCCCGAGGGCTCCGCCCGAGGGGAATATGATATTTCTTGGCTGAATAAGTCTTCATGTAGTATAAAACGAGTTTTCTTCAAACGAACGATAATTTTTGCGGGAAAATGCACTAAGTATCCGAAGAGGTGGAATATGATGAAAAGCATGCCGACGGGCGGGAAATATGAAGTTTTACTGCCCGATCATGTGATAACTTAGAACCAATCAGATAACGCGCTGTGTAGATTATTTATAAAGAGGTATAATAATAGTTTTTCACGCCTTAGTACTATCATAAGGAATGTACAAATACAGATAACATTTACCATTCTACACAAATAAGTGACAAACACTCGATATTGTGACATGTTCTTCATAAAGAAAAATATTGTTCAATTTTAAAACACACATCTAAGTTGCTTGCAACATTATTAACATTGTTTAGCATTTCCGTTTTGTGCAAGTCAATTTACCAATAATCGAAGACGCAGAATATAGGTCTTCCTTTCCAAAAGAGATAATTCAGAGAATTTGTGTGCCCCGCTTCTGCGTCTTCTTTAAGTTTAGGGAGTTGTTATGTGCAACTGAATTGCAAATGTTATAAAGGCTACTAGAGGTATCGCGTGGAAACTAAAATTAAATTCTTTATTTCCTTATGCCGAATGGCACATCAGACAGATACATGTACATTGTATTATAAAAAAGGTATACATATATTCAGATCTTTCAATTATATAATAAATGTTTACATACATGTTAGTGTAAACTAGTGTTACAAGTGTAACAAGCAGACAGAACAGTTACTACAGCGGACCTCAAAACAAGATGTGTTTGTGAAACACTATGCGCCCGGTGGCAACAAAGTTTAAAAAAATTAGCATATAGGTCACAGTCAAGGTCACAAGGTCATTGATCTTGGTGTCATTTGAAAGAACTTAATTAGTGGAGTATGCATACCAACTATGAAATCTCTATCTTTCATTGTTCAAAAGTTATGGTGAATGTTCAAAAAGCTATTTTTAGCATATAGGACACAGTCAAGGTCACAAGGTCATTGATCTTGGTATCATTTGAAAAAACTTAATTAGTGGAGTATGCATACCAATTATGAAGTCTCTTTCTTTTATTGTTCAAAAGTTATAGTTTGCAGAAAAAAAACTATTTTTAGCATATAGGTCACAGTCAAGGTCACAAGGTCATTGACCTTGGTGTCATTTGAAAGAGCTTACTTAGTGTAGTATGCATATCAAATATGAAGTCTCAACCATTCATGTTTCAAAAGTGATAGCGAAGGTTAAAGTTTGCAGACAAACAGATAAACAGACAAACAGACAAACAGACAGGACAAAAACAATATACGCCTTGGATCTTTCGATCCGGGCGCATAATTAATGTATATATATATAATTAGGCCATAGGGAGTTGTCATGTAACATTTCACTGCAAATTCAAAAGGGAGATGTTATGGAAAATTTCAATGCATATTGTACAGGGAGTTGTCATGTAAAATTTCACTATAAAAGCTGAAGAGAGAAACATTCATGCAATAATTTATATATAAAACCGAGAAAGCATATCTTTAAAAAATTGACATACAAACTTTCGAATTCATAACCGTTTGACACACTAAATTTAATTTCAGTTTTGTTCTTTTTTAAAAGCATTCTTACTGAAAAGAATACTGCCGATTTCCTTATTTTTCGAAAACGGGGGACAACACAGACAACTTCGTTTCTTAATACTCTTATCAAGAATTAATGGTTTTTCATATTTTTCTGTGTATAGATTTTACAAAGAAAAAAGACAACACAAGTCGTTCAAAACGTCCTTCAAAAAAGTGACTTAATCATTTTTTTTCCTTGGAGAAATGAGCAGCCATTCGATGGTTAATTAGGAACCTAGGCCACACATTCCATCAAGTTTGTAAATATTTTGAAACATTAATTCCAAAATTTCAAAAGTATTGTGTTATAAATTGCTAATATCTTCAAGTGATTATTTAACTTAATTACACTTCGACCTTTAGAAAGAAAGCGCAACTTACCTCCATATATTTTCAGGATGTACTCGTGATGAACCGAAAGAGATACACTCTCTTTTAATTGTTATTCTTTAATTATAATGGTTTCTTCAAATTCTCCTTTATTTATAGATAATTTACAAACACTATAAGAGTCAAAGGTTTCATCATCAGGAAAGGGAAATGCTTGTTGATAAAATTTATTGTCCTTTTTCCCATTGAAAATTAATTTTTGCCTGTACTTCCCTGAAGATTTTTGTTTTAGTATGTCTTTAATATGAGGAAAACGAACAGTTTTTATGCTTAATTGCGATCTAAATCCCTTTGATGCAAAAATATATATGTCCGTACAAGAAATGAACTCATTGGGGCTAACACTATGGATGTTACTCAAATTTTTACATCGTTTTTTTTTTTTTGGGAGGTTCAGTTTTTTCAGAGTTTTATATTAGGCAATTTACTTGGGAAAGATATAAAGGTGACAAGAATATTTCATAAAATGCGCGAATGACGAAAATCCATCTTCCTCAGATTTCCATTAACTTTGAAATCACGAATTTTCTTTGGGGTTGAATTTTCGTTGTTTTCGAGGTATGAAGAGACCCTTCGATTCATGTCCACCACGAAATGTAAAATGTTACATTCATAACTACTCAACAATTCTTCATCCACGAATTCAAATCCCCACGAACCAAGAGTTTTTACTCAAACCACGAAAATTTGATCCCTCGAAAATATGCGCTTTTACAGTAAATAAATTTAAAAAATACAATGTTTGAGAAAATCCAACGCGGACCTAATATAGTCGTGAATCCGGTGCCATG